AAAACCATTATACCCTGATTTCCCATTTTCAATGGGTTCAGGGTATAAAAACAGAGAAGCAACAACAAAATAACAAATTAATTATAGATAAGAACAGTATATTACCACATCTTCTCATCTCTTATTCGATTCTCGTCATTCATTAATTAATCAACGCTTATTTCTTATTATTACAGAGAGAAGACAGGATCTCTTTTCACTCAGCCCTCACTCATCTCTCATTTGTAACCTCTCATCTCTTCACTAATCACTATTTCCTCACTGATTCCTCATTAAATCTCTTATCGCTTAACAGTTAACACTAGCACTTATCTCTCATCAGTCGTCCTTCATTGCTTATTATTAAATACAAAAATAAATCACTCTTCTCTCACTCATCGACCAAAGAGCTAACGTCAAATTTTGTTTTAATGTCGGTAAACTGTTTACCGAAAAAATTTCAGTGATGAAATTTTGTAATCGGTGAGGTTTCCATATATATGTATATATTACAAAATTTCATCACTGAAATATATATATATATATACATATACATATACATATATATATATACATATATATAAAGAGTAAAATAATTTTATTCAATCTGAGCGAGGAACGCCAATTCTGTATAGAAACGCAGGCACATTCAATTATATTATGCGTGTGAATGGCATAATTGAAAGGAAGATTGTCCCTAGAGACAATTCGTTAAAGATAATATGGTTACACGAAAACACGAAACAGTAGCAAAGTACAGATTGTTAAGCTTAATGCCAATGTTTCCCTTATGGGAAACGAAACAAATTATTGCAGGACTTCTTAACTTCGCTAGCGAGAGAAGAAGAGGGCAAGGGCGCAAGCTACCAGAGGGTTGAACAAATTACAAGCCAGTGACGTAGATAATGACAAAATTATGTTAGTGTTTGAAAAAACAGACCAGATTGCCAACAATGTGGCAGATGTACTTAGTTAGTCAGCGAACAATAAAGACGGGGGAGCTGGGCTTTGCTCAAGGCTGCCGATTGCTAAGCGGGGTTGTATTCCATATTTTGAAACGATTTATGTGTTAGAGCTGATACACTTTGGCCATAATAATAATAATAATAATTAAAAATGCTAGCCAATGATCAAAATATCATTATAAATCAATTGTCAATATTTATATTAAATTGTGAATTTGTATTAATAATCCGAATGGGAATGGTTGCAGTAGAATATATATAGATAAATAGATATATTGCTGTGTCGACTAAGTGAAGATCGACTGAATGGATATCTTAACAATTGATTGTTAATCATTCGACTCGCTTTGTTTGTATTTAGTTCAATTTCTTTTATCATCTCAGTATATCCCATACCGGGTGTCATGTGTCACCTGTAATCTACGCATGTATGTATGTATGTACGTATGTATGTGTAAATGTGTAGTTAATTGAAACTTACGCAACACGTTTGCAGTGAGAATGCAATTACCTAAAATTTTGTAATTTTGTTTATAAAGGGCGTGCGGTGGTTGTTGTTGTTGTCGCTTATGTTGTTTTTGTGCCGGACGTCACTAGACTCCGTAATTGTTTGCACAGGCTTCATATTTCAATTTACGAATGACTTTCGGAAAGCTGATCGACTTACTGCTACCCAGTACGCGCAAAATGGAATTTTTAAGCTGAAACCCTCAACCAGAATATAAAAATATCAAATGAAATAATAAATGCAAAAGTAGCATAGTAGAATTACAGGATATATAAAGCAAAGACTAAAACGTAAATACCTACATTTATACATACAAACATACAATACATACACACATACATACATACATACACACAACATACATATATATGTATATATAAATGGTGTGTATATATGTATATATTTATGTATAAGTATACTTTATACTATAGATAGTCTCTATTCAAATTGAAAACGATTACAGTTTGGGTCAATACTCAATCGTTCGCCCGAGGGTGGTTCGCAATTTGAAAGCATGTGTTCTTTGACAAGCATAAGGGGTATAAATAGACAAATACTGATATATAAATATAGAGAGAGAAAGAAAATGGGAGAGATAGGCAGATAAAGCCTAAAATACCCACTGATGAGTTGGCAATAATTCGGCTGAGTGGTTACTGTCAACAGGCAAATAGAATAGAAGGTGTTCCAAATGGGGGCGGGTAAGCGTTATTCCACACTCAATTGCTGGTTGTTGTTGTAGCCGCTGTCGATGGTCTTTTGTTTACACGTAAAACATCATGCATATTTAATTGGGTTAAATTGCTGGGCGATTAACATTTGAAAATGAAATGCGCAGATAATTGAGTTTACTTTGCCTAATTACAAGTGACTGTTCTGCTCACAGATAGGCGTACAGGTAAGCCTGTATTCGCCATAGAGTGGAGAGGCCATTAAACCGATTAAGCCATTTAGTTTGAAGTATGTTGCAATTAATAAATGAAATGAACAATTGGACAATTGAATATTATTATGGCGCACCCTTTCCAATCCGAGTAATTCGGGCTCCGTTCCTCTTGCTTAGGTAAGGATCTTCTACCATTCTCTCGCCTCTCGGCATACTTTTCCTAAAGCATCGGATCTGCATTTGATTCGTCGTGATTATGCCAGGGTAGACCGCTGCAGCTGTCCGTTAATTACTACATATTTGGGATATGACTTATGTATGTGCGCATATATTGGAGGCATGGAAAATCGGATATAACGATGTAATCTGTGCAGGCGGATACCCACCCACACCGATGTAGATTTACAAACTAAATGCCCATGATGACAATGAACTATTCGGCAATTTTCTCATTACTTGGATCTTAGTGTTCGCTGTTTCGAGGCCTACACTCCGCTGGAAGTGTTGAAATTTGCAGGATCTCATATGCAGTGTCAGTTACAGGATCACGTACTATGCATATATCCGTCCAATCAAGTATGGTTACTGGTTTTGTATGCACGAGTGTTCATGTACAATTTCTCTAGCTCTCATATGATATGAGTCATATCTTCTGAGATCTTGGCGTTCAAACGAACAGATGTACGGACAGGCGGACATGGCTTAGGGTATAACGTGCGACACAAACACCATTCCATTCCATAGCGATTGTGAGTAAAATAGAATGCACGGAAGGCCCACATGCAGCCTAATTTGAATATATGCGAGCGATGAGGTGTTTAATGGAACCTAACGAAAATTTCAATATTTAATAGGTAAGGAGCCAATATCGATTTTTATAAAATACACAAAAATTATAGATTTTGCTACGTTTTGAGACTTGATCTTTAAAGATGTGTATAAGTATTTCATAGCAAGATTTCATTCGACAGCATTAATAACTATCGTTAGTTATCGACGTTTGCCCTCGCTATTCGCGAGCCGACGAAATATAGTTTCAAGTCTTATCCCGTAAAGCATCTGAGATCGACGCTTTTATACATAAGGACAGACGGAGATATAAACAGCTAGGGAGACAAAGAGACGAACAGGCATAAATCGAGTCAGCTCATTAAGCTGACCAATATATATTTGTATATACTTTCTGAGGTCACCTCCTCCTATTCCTGCCTGTTACATACCTTTAACAAAACCAATATACCCAGATTTCCCATTCTAAATTAGTTCAGGGTTTGCTTTCTTGGTTAAATTTTGTATTGGTTACATAGAGCGAGCAGCTGCAATAATATGAAGAGCGGTCAATATCTTCAAACATATCAAACTGATCATGAATCATTCAACTGATTGAGTTGAAATATAAGTTAAGTTTATCTCTTCGATGTACAGATATGATGTTAGGTTCTTGGGGATGTTCGCGATGATATATACACCCTTAAAATTAGTTACAAAATCATAAGTCTGAATAGACTTAGCAGGATAAACTGAAATTTACCATCCTACACGTGCGTAAAACTACAAGTAATTCAGGGGCGAGTGCCTTGTTGAATAGAGCTTTGCGCTGTTTAATTAGATAAGCATATCACTAAACAATTGTTTTTTTATCATTGTATCATATGATTTTGCTATTATATAGACACTTTAATTAGGTAGCACCATATTCATTTGTTTCAATCACGAAAATGTTCCGAAAATTGTAGAAATCGCGCGCGTCCCGAAATAACCATGATAACTGAATAACCATGATAACTGAATCGCCTGAACTCCTTCTGAAAAACATAAGTATAAAAAAAAAAACAAGCTGAAACGCGCGTTTGCCCAATGAATGAATAGCAGCTCGGCAACGTCAGCCAATCGGGATGCGCCCTAGAAGTGCTTCTCGAGAAATGGCTGCATGGGTTGAAGGGACAGCGAGATAGAGAGAAAGGGAGTGCGGGAGAGAGCGAAAGACTTGTGGCAGCTGTTAGCCAATCGGAACGCTCGATTCACAATGTGGAGGCGTGTGCAACTGCCAGTGTGGCACTTGCGACGCACATGCGCATTGTCATAGCGACAGCCAGGCGCTTCGTCCACCTTGGCCGAGCTAGTCTCGGACACCCTGCCCCTAATTTGCACATTACACGTATTTTGTATTTCGAATTCAACGAACTGTGAATATTGCTTTTAATTTAATTAACTTTCCCCAACAAAATTGCGGCATGCAAATTAAATGAAGCAGTTGGAGAAGATTGCAAATACACGCCTGATGTATGTATGTATGTAATGTTTATGTGTTAATTTGATTTTATTCATTAACTTGCTTGAATGACATGATGTATATGGCATCGGAGTGAGAGAGAGGGTTGGCGAGGGAGATTGAGAATGAGAGTGGGAGAGATACCTGTAGGAGTAGCACGTGGCTTAAACTATTGCATAAGCTGCATAATTGGCAATCCCACACAAGTTAATGCCTTTACGGATTCTCATGTAGCCCGATTCACCCCACTTCTCGCCCCACCAATTCTTGAGAATCCAGTAGTCTTTGTCATATCCAATTAGCAGCATAGCATGATTAACCGAAGTCGAACTGCATGTGACATCATCGTATATTCCGTCGCTGTAATGAGAGAAACGAAGAGAATAGAAGAGAGCAGGCACGAATGAATATACATATATATTTTTAATAAACCTATGCATGTATTTATGGTATGTGTATATATATGAGTCGAAACACAATTAGAGCACTAATTGTATTGTGGTTTTATTATCATATGAGATATCCCGAGATAGCTCGGTCCAGTCTTACCTATATAGTTGAAAAGTTTTCGGCGTCGCATTGATAGAAACTGCTACTGGGCCAATATGCGCCACAGCTGCCTGAATCGCATTCTCGTCATTGGCCGGCAAAATGGCCCACGAGGTAACGTTGACCACGGCCAACTCGCTCACGAACTGGCAAGCTCCTTTCTGCAATACAAAACTGAGTTATTAATGTTGTCAAATGTTCAGTGCTGCAATAGCTTAGCAAATCGGGTAAGACTGACCCGCCCACTGTTTGCTGCCAAGATCCATGCAGAAGACAAATACAAGCCTACATATGTATGTACATACCTTCATATGTATGTACTTATCTATATACGTATATGTTTGTTTATATGCAAAATTTTCGAGCCGAAAGGAGATTTCAAGAACAAGAAACGGAAACTTCCCAGGTGTCTCTTACCCAGTCATCCCCGAAGAGCGCAGCTCTGCATGCTCGCAGTCTTATTTACCTTTGAGGCATACTTGTAGTCGATGGATCGCATGAGACCCCCGGTAGCCTGTAGATAGCGGAGAGTGTTTCGTAATGAGCCGCCCGTACAGCCCTGGTTGCCGTGTGATATGCTGCAGTCCACAATTTGCTGCTCACTCAGAGAGAGGATTTTGCCGGTGCGCTTGAAGACTTGGCCCTCTATGCTCTGGGCAATGCTGAAGGCGTAGCACGAGCCGCAGCTCTGTTGATTGTACGACGGAGTCGCGAATCCCTTTTTACGCCAATCCAAACTGTCTGGCACATTGTCCATCAGCGTTGCTCCGACCATATCGGCCATGTTATCGGATGCCGATATCGGAGTACTCCGTAGCAGGCGTAAGAAGCCCTTTAGGTACGATTCGGTGCTCTATGGATTGGAAGCGCCGCAAAATATTAGGCAGATTCCCAAATGATATCGTTGCACCTAAGCTGACAAAAACGTAGTTTATAATACCCCGGTCGTTGCTCATTCGTGATGCCAACTACATCGGCAGCTTCTTCTTCTTCTGGTTGATGGCTGAGCCACATGCAAATATAGCCCAAGGGCTATACATATTTCCGTGCAGAAACTATGAGTAGATCTATCTATGTCTTACCATGTCCGCTAGGGTATTCACTGCCAGGCGAAAGCTGCTCCTCCCCGAGTCGTAATCCTTGTTGTGTGCGTCCACGATCTGGTGATTCTCCTCGTAGGCTTTGTAGCTGCGCAGCTCGTCATGCGCGCGTATGTAGTTCCTGTTGTTGGCTTCCTAGAGGGCGGCTCGGGGCAAGGGACCACATTTAGTACGTGGCATTCACTCGGCTGTGCACTTACCTTAAACTGTGCGAACTGCTCCATGTAGGCCTGGCCTGAATCGCTGAATCGCTGGCCCAGGACCAAAAGGCCGGCAAGACCAAAATAAAGTATCGAACCATCAGCGAGTCGCATCGCTGCACTCGGCTAAATGAAATACCGAAATATTTATTCCCAACTGATTGTGGCTCATGCAAATGCTAGCAAATTTCGAATTTCGAACTGCTAATTGCCAACTACGAGTTGCAAACTGCAACTCAGCAAAAGTATGAAAATCGAGCCAATGTTGGTCACTTGCTGCTCAGAGTCGATATGCCTGCCTCGATGTGCCGTGCCTGAAGTTAATTCAAGACTTGAGCTCTTAAACCCGGCATGCCCCGTTAAAACCTGTTACAAATTATGTTCTTGGTTTTTGCTAATAAAGCCAAAAGTCAGCAGCCCCGTGTATATATATGTATGTATAATAATAATACCCTGAACCCTCCAATCAGATATTTTAATCACTCGAGTGAGAATTATACGAATTTATTTGTTGACTAATTTAATTTCTAGACGTACGCTCTTAATAAAACTTTCAGAACTCAATCATAATTTTGAAAAGTATTTATATTCCAATGCACAAATAGAGACTCCATTACTTGAAATACGCCTTTTACAAAGGTGAGGGTGTGCGGGTGGATTTAGGCGGTAAATTACAACATAAATAACTAGCTTTTTATAAGGTTTTTAATCGATAATATACTATCGAGAGTAGTTAGCGATTTTTGTACCCTGAACTCATTCAAAATGGGAAATCAGGGTATAATGGTTTTGTTAAAATGTATGTAACAGGCAGAAG